TTTGACAGGCGTTTCGAACGCCGTTTGAATTTTGCGGATCGGTCCAGTAGTTTCGGAGATACGAGGGGGGCAAAAAATAGCCCCCCCCCCACCAGGTCGCGTTATAAACAGACCCCACCAGGGCGCGGGTTAAGAGGTAGATACACTGTAGCGCTTTTCACGACGGAACATTGCTCCCCTCACTTATCGCACAATGCGATGCTGAATAAATGATGATGATGATGATTGATGATGATGATTGGGATAACACACCTATTTGATCTGGTTGATCCGTTTGATAGGTCCATGAGAAATGTTAATTGTTTACTTGAAGGGTCCCCACCTATCGAATGAAATGCCGATACTCTTTGCATCTTTGATTTCAAATTCAATCAAATAGGTGCCCAAAATTCTGTCATAAAAGATACTTGAGTGAGTGCGTCCGAAATGCCTCGTCTCGGGATCCTAGAGTCATTTTGTCGCTATCTACTCTAGAATATATCGAACTCCGACTTTTTAATCGCCATCACCAACAGCGTCTTATCAGTGCCGGCTGTGTGTTATATAATCAAAACCTCAGGGTCCAAACTCCATAAAGGACCACACAGCGGCGGCTGTAAATACTGCTGATAGCTGCCACTTGAGATCGCTGTGATAGAGCGACCCCCGAGGCTCCGTTTGTGGGCAGGCGTAGAGACGTGTGATAAGTGGCCGACGGAGGCGAGACCATGTATCCGACGTGTTGCGCAGCTTAACCCGCGCGGGGCTGGGGTCTCCAGCCGAACGCGCGGGGCTGGGGGGGGGTAAATTTTACCCCCCCCCCCCCTGTTATCTCCCGAACTAACGGTCCGATTTGGAAAATTCAAACGCCAATCGAAAGCTCTCATCACGAACTACTAAAAACATGTACTTAATTTAAAGTTTGAGGTCAAGGTCAAGGTCAGGTCAAGGGTACAAATTGCAAGTTTCTACAGTATCGGCCTTGCACCGTAGTTGCCGAAGAATGGAGTCATGGACTGAGACTGATCGCCCAAAACGTGTTCTTAGGCTACCAAGACAATATTCGTTGCATACAATATCATTCAGAGGTCAAGGTCAAGGTCAGGTCAGGTCAGGTCAGGTCACCAAAAAAACAAAATATAGAAAAGGGCATGTGCGACACATGTTTTATGGGTCATTTTACTCATAGAATTCAATAGGCACACTCAATAAGTGATATGGACCACCTCTGGATGAATTTCAGGTCAAGGTCAGGTCAAGGTCAGGTCAAGTGAGGTCAAATTTTGAAGTTGGTTGTTGAGGCCTAAAAAGGTGTCTATCTGATGCAGTTTTTTCACGGCGAATCGAATGGTGCTATTTTTGTTTCCGTACGAGGTCTAGAACTTCCAAAAAAGTCATTTTCAAAAATTTTGTGTGTCGTGACGTCATAAAATTTTGAATAACTCCCACATTTTTGAACCGATTCTTCTAAAATTTGGTATGTAGGTGCACATAGACCACTTCTCTGACATATATTCCGGTTTTTTCGATAGACTCAAAATTTTGGATTTTATAATGATTTTCCCAAAAAAGTCAGTTTTTTTTAAAAAATTAGGCCAAAATCCAAAATTTTCAAAAAACCGAGATAGCCATTTGATAGACAAAGTAAAATTACGTATAACCTTTTTTGTTACGTCTTAATTCCTTTAAAAATGAAGATGTTAGCGGCGTTTGAACTTTTGCCGTTTTTGAGGCGAAAATGACGAACATGACGTCACTAAAACGTCAATTTCTCAAAAATTTTCCGACGGATTTCGCTCAAATTTTCAGGGAACGTGTCAAATTGACGTGAGAAAAGGTACTGAAAGTTTGGCGGCGCTGCGCGCCGCCGTTTTTGAGATATCGCGAAAATTCGCGAGGGGGGGTAAAATTTACCCCCCCACCCAGCCCCGCGCGGGTTAAGATGGTTGACGGCTGACAACCTGGTATTAATACATACTTTACGGTGCGTTCACTGGAGATTAACCGTGCGTTAATTCGAAGGTAGCCGTGCACCAATTTAAATTGGTGCACGCGCGTGCAGTGATGACTTTCTCGACTGAAGTTTTTCGGAAGGGTCATTGACTTTATTCTTAGAATTCCCATAAAAGGCCCTTTTAGTGGCATGGGCTAGGTTTAATTTTGATTTAAATTCGCACCGTTAAGCATGTATTAATTAGTTTAACACATGGTTTCCGTGCATAAATGGTTTTAACGCACTCGTGGATGGAATGGAGCACTTGTGCGTTAACCCGCGAGTTGCTGGGGGGGGGCGTTAAACGCCCCCACTTTTTTCGCCGGGCCATAGTATAAAAACGGCGCGCCGCAGGCGCGCCAAATTTTGGGTACCTGTAGGGAATTGATTTAAGTTTATTGTGACATAGTTTCAAAAAAATCGGTCGGAAAATTTTTGAGATATCGAGGTTTTAGTGACGTCATGATTTCTGAGTTTTCGACCAAAAACGGCATATGTTCAAAAAATCATATAAAATCACAGAATAGACATACAGGCATGCTGTAAACGCCATTAGACTGCCAATGCCATGATCAATCAAATGGCTATCTTCCATTATTGATTATCGTTCCGCATTTTCCATAATCTTGAACTGAATCTTGGCAATTTTTCGTGACTACTTCACGACCATGATACATGAATTTCTTAAATTGAACTTTTTGAGCCAAACACGTACACATATGATAAAATAAATGTCACCATCGTGTTCTACGCCCCAAATTACCTATAAAACATGTGTCACAGGCTGCGAATATTAGTTTTGATTTTCTGGGATATGTGCCTACCCGGTTGACCTGACCTTGACCCTGACCTATGCTTGACTGACCCCTACATGTAGCTGACACTCTTGTAGGCCTTATAAGATGGATTGTGCACCGTTTTGACAGAGTTTATGGCGAGAGGCGCCCATTGCGAAGTCCTGAAGTCCATGCTACTGAAAGCCCGATTTCAGGTGTTTGACCTGACCTTGACCCGACCTGTGACCTCAAAATTCAACTTAAGAGTACTCATCTGAAGCGTCTCGTCGCGCTCTTTCGTTTGCCGCCTCGTGCGTTTCGCTGCGCCTATTGGTTCTCGAGTTATCGGCTGGGGGCGTTTAACGCCCCCCCCCCCCCCCAGCAAACGGTGGGTGGCGAAATACCCCAGCAACTGCCGGGTTAATGCACTCGTTTCACTCGTGCATTAACACACTCGTGCTCCAATCCATCCACGTCGTGCGTTAAAACCATTTACGCACGGGAAACCATGTGTTAATATATATTGTACCACAGGGTGTGTGGTGTACGACGCATTGTCGAGTCCGGCCACCCAAGCGAGATCGCGAGCACGTTGGTCACCGCTGCCGGCCATGGCCACGACACGCGGAATGCCGGCCGACTACGTCTCCCGCGAATACGTACCGAGGCGGGTAGGAGACAACTGGTGTACGGGGGCGTGGACGAGTACAACCAGTTTTGTGAAATTTATGACGGCCGAACATCTTTTAAATATGCGCTCAGAAGATTTTTACTTCTGAAGCAGGCAGCATAACAATTTATCACTGACACTGACATGGCAACTGTTCTGCGATGTTTTGTACGAATGTATGTGTGTATGCTCATTTATCTATAACTACTCGTTTTTACGTTATATGACACTGCGTTAACCTTATTCCTGGCGGGCTCCGCCGGGACAAGAAACTGGCGGGGGGGCCGATTCGGCCCCCCCCCCCCCTGAGATCTCGAGAACGAAGCAAGATAGCGACAAGCGGTAAACGGCATCGGATACGCATGGACAAGGTCTACAATTTTTACAAAGGTCATTTTCAGGTCAGGTCAAAGATGACGTCACAGGGGTCGAAAAAGTCAAAATGGCGGCGCTAGATATGGAGAGAGTTTTTCTCGAATAACTTTCGAATTAGTCAAGACAGGAACAAACTAAGGGCATCATCGTGATCTTCTCGTCAATCCACATCGAATGATATATGTTGACCTCGAAAGGTCAAGGTCAAAGGTTGACCTCAGGTCACGTGACCTCGAGGTCATCATGTATATCATTCGATGCGTCTTGACGAGCTGAACACAATGAGACCATCCACGCGTCTGTATCTTGTTCCTGTACGGAGTTATTGGCCAAAAACCTTTGGTGACCTTTGATGACGTCACATGACCTCACAGCTGCCCAACAGCAAAACAGACCTCAAGGTAGTGAAGGTTGATCGTATATGAAGTCATGTATGGTATATGGGGCCATTCCGACCCGTTTTAGTGGTAAAAACAGGGAGTTGATTTTTCCCCCATTGACTTATAATGGGGAGGTCGCGAAACTGACCTGACCTTAGGTCACCGATATCAAAATTCCGAGATATACAAATTGCACATACTGGTACCCTAACTAAAGCCTGAAGAGAAGAAATCGATCGCTCAAAAACTCTAGCTCTGGCGTGATTGCAAACTTTTCTGAGGTAGGGTCACCAAACCGCCTCTGGTGACCTGACCTGAGGTCAGATCAACTCAAAATTTTCAGACATGTTGCGTAGAAGCCTTATAGGAAAAGTCAGAAAATTTGAGCTTCCTAGCTCAACGCGTTTGGGAGAAATAACCAAAAAACCTCAGGGGGGCTCCTGAGGCCCCCCCCCCGCCAGGAATAGGGTTAATGAAAAGCCGCGAAAGCGGATTAGCGTGAATAAATGAACTGAACTGAACAGCAGCGGTGTAGAGACATGGACGGAGACAATGTGGTGTGGTTAGGTAAGAATGTGAAAAGACGTTGCATGCAATGGCAGGACGTTGGTGAATTATCGGTAGGTATTGATAGAATGTCAGTTCCGTCAGCGATGGAACATGCGAGAATATGCGAGAATTGATATAAAAAAATTATCAATGAAATTTATTGCAATTAAATGGGAAATAAAATGAAAGACAAAACAATATTATTTTCAGGACAAAATACAAGGAATAATTTGAAAAAGTAGCAGGACTTCAAACCCTCGACAACAAAAAAAGAAAGGCAGAATGCATTCATATTATATTGGCAACCTCCTATTTCAGCAATCTACATTACATATGATAAACGATATCTTTTTATAACTACACATATTCTTCTATCTATAACAAAGAGCACGCAGGATCACATTCACGTACAGTATTTCTGAATCCAAAAAGACTAATGCGTCCGAACATTGCTGCTAGCGTATTGCTCTTATCCAACTCAGCACAGTGCTAAGCAACCTACGCCAATCATCCAACTGTCAACTACATCTCGACGAGAGGTTTACACCACAATATGCATGCATAACAGGCAAATATTGATATTGTATGCGCACTTCCCACACACAAGCCGATAGCCCATTCTAAGGACAGCACAGGGCTGACTGAAACTAATACTACCATAACCTGCTATCATATATGCGCGTGTCCACAGTTCGTGGTCACACCTGTCTATAAACGAGCAGTAAACATCATTTCACGAAGTTGTAGGTGTTCTCTGGTATCACTGAAACCATCTATAGCACTGAGCGTCTGTTTCGGTAGTCTGTCTCAGTAGACCTATATCCTATCATCATCGCCACCATTTCCCTCAGTAGACTCTCAGTAGGTCTATATCCTATCATCATTGCCACCATTTCCCTTCCCCGCGACTCAGGCAGTAGTCCTCCAGTATGTGACTTTCTTTCACCGCTTCCATCTTCCTCTCCCTCTAACGTCCCATTTTCATCTCTATCGAAGCTCCAACCTTCCTCCCCGTACGACCCTTCCTAGATGTTTTCTTACCGTACCCATGTTCCCCTTCCTACATCCCCTGGCATGAGTCATCATTCATCCGCTTCAACCTGTATGCCCTCTTCCAACCACATATCCCAGGTTATCTTTTTCAGTCCGGAAGGTTCTCATTTCACTCATCAACCAGCCTATCTATATCCTCTTTCCATCCATCATCCACAATCCTTACCATTGACCTACGTCTCCGATCATTTTTCCTACCATCCCGATTTCGATCTTACGGTCCCTACATAACTGTACACGTCTTCTCACCCTTATCCGTGCAGAAATTGTTATTCCCCCTTCTCCTTTCTCCTCCTTCCTACTCTTTCTCCTTCTCCTCTTCTATTTCTTGCTCATGCTCTTTCCCTTCCTTCTTTCCTTCTCCTTCTCCTTCTCCTTCTCTTTCCCTTTCTCCCTTCCTCTTCAGTCGATCTCCAGTTTCCTAAAGCTCCCCTCGATGTCGAACAGATCCGCCGCCGACTTCGCCTTCCCCCTGCGCAGCTTCTCATCAACACCATACTTCATGTAATCCAAGAAGAACTCCCTGTTCTCTTCAACCCTCTTCACCCACTCCTCCGCTAGCGCATTTACGCTAGGGAGCGTGCCACCGTACTCTTCAGGAAGGCATTCCGGTGGGATAGCCGAGTGGAGGGACGACTGGTCCGATCCATGGAACCACAGTCTCTGCTTCATCTTCTCCTTCATGAAGCTGCGGAAGAGGTTGATGACCGGGTCCATGCCGGTGGGTGTGTTGAAGTAGTGCATCCCCTTCTGACGGACAGGGAAGGAGTCCCAGCATGTCACTGCCTTCTTGACGAGGGTTGGTGTCATGGACATGGCGTGGGCTAGGGTGGCGTCTTTGAGGTCGAGGAGGCCCACGATCCCGGTCACTTGGGAGGCTTCGTCTTGCTCGGCGAGCAGAGCGGAGATCATGTTGGAGACGCGGAACATGACCTCTTGTGGCACCAGAGATCAGAGAGACGTGGGGTGAGCGGACAGAGGGTCAGATATCAACTCCTTGGGAGCCTGAAGATCAGAGAGAGGTGGGGGGGGGGCTGGGGAGGGAGTTAGAATTGTCCTACGGAGGCACCTAACCTGAAGACGACAGAAAAGGGCGGAGTGAATAGTGGTGCTTCTTCACCACCTGACTATCAAGATTCAGATAGAGATACTATTAAAAGGATTCGAATTTTCCAAGTAAATTAAAAACAGTTAGGGATAGAGATCGGTCATTACAAAAGACGGAACATCTGCTACATTGTTCCATTTAAAGCTGAGTCAGATCCAACCATCTACCACTCATCTTACAAACCCATATCCTCTTGCCCAGCCAACGTAGCTTACTCACTCACTCACTCACTCACTCACTCACTCACTCACTCACTCACTCACTCACTCACTCACTCACTCACTCACTCAGTCACTCACTCACTCAGTCACTCACTCACTCACTCACTCACTCACTCACTCACTCACTCACTCACTCACTCACTCACTTTTTCGCATAAACGTTCACCCATTCGCTTCAATCGTTCATTCACTCCCACCCCCTCTCCCTCCCTCCCTCCCTCCCTCCCCTCCCCTCCCCCCTCTCTCTCTCTCTCTCCCTCTCTCTCTCTCTCTCTCTCTCTCTCTCTCTCTCTCTCCCTCTCTCTCTCCCTCTCCCTCCCTCTCTCTCACCTCTCCGTATCTCTCGCCGCCACTCTGATTATCACCAGCCGCTGTCCATTCGGCAGCGGCTTCGGCGTCGGCACGAACCCTCCAGCTCTGAGCACCTCGGCCACCATATCATCCTTCGGGTCACCTCCGCCCATCATCTCCGGGCAGTGTGTCTTCAGTGAGTGGTACAGCTCCAGCTTCTCCTTGGCCCTCTCCAGGCTGAACTTGGCTCCGCGGAGAAAGTTAATGAGAAACCAATCATCGGTGCGGGTACGGAGATGGGGTTGCTTGCAGAGCCACTGGCGGAGGTGTTCGATGTCGGTTTGACGTCGGTCGGGGACCTCGAAAAGCTCACGTTGGGCCTGAGCGAGGATGGGCTCCGGGAGGGAGCACTGGTAGGGCTGGGAGCGGCGCGCGAGGAGCGGGGTGGTCATGGTGACGCCGGAGGAGAGTGATGGTGGTGCCCTCGAGGTGGTAGAAGTTGAAACAGCGGAGGAAACTTGAGGTAGTTTTTAGATGGTTGGATGGTAGCGGTTCAGAGATGGCAGTCCTGACGTGAAGGTAGTTAAAGTAGCAGGCGAGGCGGCTTCAAATGTCGTCTCTCAAGTGCCGGTATCTTGATTCTAAAGAGTCTTCTTCTTGTGTGAAATCAAAAATCTCTTATGCCGGAAGTAGGCGACTGGCCAGTCGGATACACAGTCAATCTGACGAGCTTGCAGACAGTCGAATTGACGAGCTGGCAGGTTTGTAGACAGTTGAAGCGTGAACAGACGAACTTGTAGACAAAGGGAGGACTGGCAAAATGGAAGACGTACAGGTGAGACAACTGTCGAGTTTGCGGATGGACCTGTCAGCAAGCTTAGTCAGCCAGTTTACGCTGCCTGACGAACCAAACTCCACCAACCACAGCAGCACACTCCTGCCCTCCCGTACTTCGGAGTCACAGTGAATCAGAGCTCTAGAAGCCCGCCTCTGTCGAGTGGTGACTTTATCAACACCAAACACCGCGATAGCGGGTGCCTCAGAGTCGCTAAGTACAGATAGACAGATAGACCGGGGGCGCTTGGTACGTAGATAGGAGGAACGTTAAGCATACAGTAAAACACCGCGACAGGTACACAGGTAGACGGTGAAGCCAATGTTCAGAAAGGAAGGAGGAACAGGGAAGGAAAGTGTGTCAAAAAAAAAAACAGGCAAAATATATTTGATGCTTGCAAAAAAGGTAGCCATTCCATCTCTTCAAACTAATTCATCGATCTCCACTGAAGAAATTGGTATTTGTTTACTAGTTTTACGTGTGTTGTTACCACCATTAAATTGGTCAGGATTATTGTTTGGCGGATTGTTAAATATGTCTCACTGCTTAGAATACAAGCTTTCGGCAGTGGGTATTCAACATATTCCATTCATTTTCCTCTACATGTCGACAATGGCCTTTTTTATCATGAACACAGTACAAGTTCAATGATAGCTGAGCTTCCATTCCGCCACTTTCAATCCCACATGCAGTGGCATCCGCTCAATAAGTCCTCCTTGGTGACACAACATTTTGGATTTATTAAGCGGCGGCTCTATTTACCGTAGTCAGTTATACTTCTATGGAGAAATCGGTGAAGAGCTCAAGTGACCACAATTAGCGGCTGGATTTATTATTTGAGGATTTATTACGCGGATTCAACTGTTTATCTTATCACCACCCCATAAGTGTTAAATAAATCGCATTCCTAGTAACTATGTAGCTCTCTCATCTCAGGCAGCCACCCCTCGAGTTGAAACCAACCGCAGGCCACGCAATGAATATCAATAGTGTTTTTCCTCGTATCGGGTGTGAAAATCCCCTGGGGGAAATAAACACCAAAACATGGTGTCTTCTAGACCTGACCCCCATAGGAATGATCCGTAAAACTCGCAATGGTCCCAGAAAATAGACGCAGTTTGATGATGTCGCGAAGTGGTAAGCATGCTTTATTCGAATATGCATCTATTATGTACGATCGAATTAGGATAGCGACGTATATAATTGTTGATAAATGAAATTCCTGTATAATCCTGCATAAGTAAATGCCGTGGATCACTTTATTGCTAGTTGTTAGCGTCTCATACTCCCAGAAAGTTTTGATTATCTGACACAGACTGTTTCCATAACAGGTATTATTTTTGTAGCTCTGTCTCTGTCTCTGTCTCTGTCTGTCTCTGTCTCTCTCACTCTCACTCTCACTCTCACTCTCACTCCCACTCTCACTCTCACTCCCACTCCCACTCTCACTCTCACTCTCACTCCCACTCCCACTCCCACTCCCTTCCTGTATATCCATCCCCTCTCGCTGTCATCCCTTTCCCATCTCTGTTTCTCCGCCACTCCCCCCACCTCTCTCTCCTCCCTCTTCCTCTCATTCCCCCTCTCTCCTCCCCTCCCTCCTCTCCCCTTCCCTTCCCTTCCCTTTCCTTTCCTTTCCTTTCCTTTCCTTTCCTTTCCTTTCCTTTCCTTCCCTTCCCTTCCCTTCCCTTCCCTTCCCTTCCCTTCCCTCTCCTTCCCTCCCCTCCCCTCTCTCTCGCTCCTCTCTCCAATCCCAATCCTCCCCCACACCCCACTCTCCCCACATTCCCTCGGGGACTCCCGGCACTATTCCTGTTTACATATCCTCCTCACTGAAGCCGCTATCGGGTGTGATGCCCACACAGCTGATCAAGACCGAAACGTCCCCAGGGGGCGGCGGGTAGTCACAAACAGTGAGGACAGACGTGGCTGACGCTGCGGAAAATTCGACACCGGTAAACGAATATTCGATATACAGGGTGATTTTTTTTACTTGTTAAAAAGTAATGAGGTCTAGTGGCATTAAAATACAAATATATATTGCAAAATTATATACCAGGATGACAAGCATGCTGGGACATTTTGATTTCATGCAGACACGATGTGAAGGAACGTCCATCGTGCATTTTACTTGTGCTTGAAGTTGCCCCCTCTCTCACCGACACGAATCAGCCCGCCTGAGCACGTGTTGAACAGCACCATGGACTCCCATACTCATTAGGCGGACTGAAAAGGCTCCTATCGCCCGTTTTCAGCTCGGCCAGATATTTCCACTGTTTTCTTGTTATATCTGCCATAGCTGAGTCCAAAAACTAGAAGTTTAGGGCGGGCAGGTCGAGGATTTTGATACTGGCGGCCCTGGTGGTGTCTGATTCGCTGTTTTTTCTTTCTCCCTGAAGACTGATTCTTCAGAGGCTGCACATACGCCAAATGAACCGTTTGAAGGTTATTTATGACTACAAGCTTGTTCGTGCATTATTTAACGTCTTTCTGGGGTGTCTCCTCGATGATCGTATGCTTCGAACTGCCTCAATGCTTCAAAATCATCGTTTTGTGCCGTTCCTTACTGAACGGCGGTGGGCCATGCGTGCCCGATTGGTGGGACATTTTCAGGCTCCATTGGGGCCGAGGCCTTCGGTTAAAAGGGACAAATTATGACACCATACAAAATGTCCCAGATTTATCTATCACGTGCATTGCTTTTTTGCACGCGATTTTTCGATTTAGGGACCACCATTGACATTTACTTTTTAACAGTTAAAAAAAATTCACCCTGTATATAGACCATTCGACACCGGTCAAGGAATAGATACGGAAAATTCGACACCGGTAAAGGAATATTCGATATAGACCATTCGACACCGGTCAAGGAATAGATATAGAGATTGTAAGGAGGCGTTCGTCAATTACAAGACTAACGAATGAAAACAAACAACAGGGAGGGGGAATACCGCTTTTGGCATCCATGTGTCTAATTCCGATAATGGAGCCTGGAGGACCTCTTCGCTTTCAGATATTTGGTCTTTTTCTTTAGTATCACTCTTTCTATGTATCTACTATCTACAGAGATAACATTCATCTATCTTCACTATAGTTTGCACTTTGTTCGTTAGTTTTGTTAGTATCGTCAGTTTGCATGTCGTGTTCTTTTACGCCTGAAGGCATACTGTGCCGCATTACCCGTCCTAGTTCTCACTCTTGTCACTAGATGACAGCACTGGTATACGCCTGAAGTTACACTGCGCCGCAATGCACGTTTTGATTCAAATACTCGCCAATAGATGACACTACTAAAGCCGCTCAGCTCGCTCTAATTCTCGTCAATACATGGCACTAGCCACTAGTTGTATGCGTCCGCCGCCTGTATGTATGCATCAAGTAGTGAAACCTGTTACCCTGCAGGGGCGGAGCTTCCTATATACCTACGTAGTTGCCAGTTAGTGGGGCGGCTGCCCCACCCAGGGGTAGACAGTAACAGTTGGTGGCATTAGACCAAATCGGCGCTAAAAAAAACTACTATTCTGTTGGGTTTCCATGTTAAATCGACGTTTTTCGAGCGAGCCTCACATATAATGCATAAGAGAAAATGCTAAACCGATTGTGGGAGTCGGGAGAGGTAGCCTGAAGTTTTCACTACAACCTTTCTATCTAGCGTTTTTCGATGCCCAGACCAGAACAGGTCCAAAAAGCTTTGGGCGCTGCCCGATGTTCCATACGCACTGTGTATTTCCATTCTAAGAACCCACCATACAGCGATCTCAAGATCAAGGTCAAGACCGTACATCCCACCTTCGGCCGTCTAATCCTCAGAGATTAGCTCAGCTTTTGCCGACGTTCCCAGCCGCGAGGTCGGAGCCATTTCGCTAAAAACGTCCCGAGAAAACGAGCGACTTCATTCAGGGTATCTCGTTCATGAGAGTTTCTTAGGATATATGGGGAGTACGTGTTCGGTGAGGGTTAGAATCTAGCAGCTCTAAAACTACGCTGTCTGCTGTTCTGCCGGGGAAAGCCACGAAGAAGCAATGGACGTGATTGGTGCTTGTTGGAATCTGGCGGCTCTAGCAAAGCACAATGTTCAAGATAGCTGCTAAGAAAAGGTCGAAATGTGTTCGATATTCACAAAAAAAAAATCACTGGCGATATTCACTAGCAGATCACTGAGGAAGAAACTATAGTGGATGTGGACTCAGCCCTCATTCAAATATAGCGACTCAAATTTGGAGCTATTGCAGAACTAACCAAGATGCTCTATAATGATTTTTTTTGCTAAGCTTTTTCGTATTCAATGTTGTAGTTTGTAGATCACGAATGCGTCGCACCGGCGCTTGTATTTATTACAATCCGCTGACCGCTCTGATTCTGAAACAACGCTCCCCCCATCCCCAACTCCTCTTATCATTGAAATAAAGTTTCATGGACTCAACTTCTTACCTCATTTGTTTGTTTGTTTTGTTTTGTTGGGTTAGGCCCTTTCGGTCCAATGAGACCATTTCAGAGCCGGGAGGATGTTAGGATATAGGGGGAGACATTGGTCTGGGCAGGCACCCTAGTTAGTCGCCGGGGCTGAGTCCGACCAGAGGACAGGCCACCCAGCCCCAAGGCACTCACTGCTTCCGGCTACGGGGTGCGCTCCCTCGGGAGCAGCGCGGCGGTGCCGCTCCAAGGGACCAGCCCGCATGAGATAAAGTTGCCTGTCCAGCCCGGAGGGGGGTTGCGGCGTGGAGGAGAAGGATTTCAGTATCCTGAGGATAGAAGCACGGAACGTTTTCTTACCTCGATCAGACAATAGCTGTTGAAGATGCCTCGTGAGCTCCATCCGCTCAGCATGCACATACCACTAGAGCCATCTGTCGGTCAGCACCAGAACTAACATACCTGGAACGCAAGGCAACCCGAGTCAGCGACACTAGCGCTATATCACGGCCTGGCGGATGTTATCAGAGACAATACGTCAACCATCGTTCATAGATGGCGGTAAATGTCAGTCACGGGCGGACGCTCATGTATCAACCGCGTGGCCACTTTCGTTGACGATTAGAGCTGCAGGATTCAGGCCGGAGATCCGATGGTGGGCTGCGATAGCATCACACATGAAGCAAATGTAGGCACGACACAAAATAGGTGGTAGGA